AAATTTCAATTTGACTAGTCACTGTGTCGCAACGAAATCGTTCTGGATGGAAGCTGATCATAAGAACGAAAATAAAACAAAAGATTTGAAAAACTGAATCGCCCCTGCAGCGATTCAAGAAACCTTAGATAAATTGTTTGTTCCATTGTTTCCATTTATATTAGAACTAGTTGGCATAACTTTTTGGAGAATTACCTTGGCCATTACAAGGTTCACTTATTTTGTTCTATACAAAAAGAATCTCCAGTTGCAACCGGCTAGTTAAGCCTGATAGAAATGTCAGCAGGCCTTTTGTGCCAACAATCTTTGTTGTCTAGATTGTTGCATGTGCCCCTTCCGAAGTTTTTGATACGAACATTAAGGCCACCACCGATGTTGCGGTGTATTGCTTTGTGATACAAAGCGGTTATTGTGGTGGACTTTCGCTTACACACAATGGCACACACACTGGTATGCGTGCGTCTTTGTATAGAAACAGGCTTCACCCGCTTCACTGTGTGTGTTTTCTCCTCGGAATCACCCGTATCGCTAGTCCATCTTTTATGAACGTCAATCATCCAGTGAATCTGATCAGCTGTCCGAGTTTGCAAATCATCCAGTGAATCTGATCAGCTGTCCGAGTTTGCATTAGTGGAAAAGACCCAGCAGGCAGTTTCGGACCAGACACTAACGAGTTAACCAAAAACGCATCTTGTCGATAGCCGGGTTTGGAGTGCGGTTGCGCTGGATTGGAGGGGCAACACACGCATCCGAAAATACAAGCCAGTATATGTGAGTTCGCAGCAAACATTCGAAAACAATCACATACACAAGTGTCTGCGTGTGCATCGTGTCAGATACACAATCCAAACTTTTTGTGGTGTGTGCCATTCAAGTTTCTATTTACTGGTGTCCAGAGGAACCGGGAGAGAGAGCAAACAAAAACCAACCAACTTGATTGCAGTGCTTTATTGATACCGTCCCTTTGGGTAACCAGTGTCAGATGAAACGGGATAATACGGTTTGTTGAGAGCTACTCGATACTAGTTCGCTGGATTTCTTCCTAACCTTTGATCTAGACCGAACTATTTCTTAAGGGGTGCATGACTTGGTTATATATATGACGAACCGCAGCCGGAAACCGACTGAATTATTCAATCTTCGGCTTCAAACAAGCTGATTATTCGTCCAATCTATTCTAGGCTGTTTATCCGAGCATTGGATTAAGAAGATAACTAGACTGTGTAACCATGACCTAAAAAAATCGTATGTGATGTTCTTGTTTTATTCCCCTTAAATTAAGATGAAACGACTTGGAAACACACAACCCGTGATGTCTTGCTCAGTATTCGCATGAACCGTCATAACAGCGACTGGAATAATGCAACAAAAATGTACTTTACGCTGGGCAGATAAAACCTGTATCAATTTTGGGAAAAATTCTGGTTTGAAGCCTTGGACAAAAAGACAATCGCGTTGCTCTAATAATTGACCGAATTAGTTTACCCCCTCACGGAAAAAACAAAAGCCGATCTTTCAACTAGCCAAGAACATTCTTTGAATGTTACTTTGACTCCAGTTAGTTGAGATGCCGGGCAAACATATAAAACTTTGTGTGGGTACCTTATCTTTCTTGAGACGCCAAGCCAAGAACATTCTTTGAATGTTACTTTGATTCCAGTTAGTTGAGATGCCGGGTAAACATATAAAACTTCGTGTGGGTACCTTATCTTTCTTGAAACGTTCCTGAACTGAATAGGGAATTTGGAGTTGAAGTCAAATTATGATTAGATAACCGTAGAAGGGAGTTAAAAGCGTTACCATTTGGCAACCAAATTTCACGCATCTGTTTCGAGGCGCCAAAATCTATCGTACTGCCCCGTACTTTCGATAGTGACCTGATCCTTGGCACAAAGTATTTTCGTGGTAGAGTCACATGGTGGACACAAGGTCGCCTAAAACTTGACACTGAAAAATTGTAGTTGTAGCTGAATCGTAAAAAACGACAAGATTATTCCGAGACCTTTCCTGATCCTTTCACCAGTCTCGTCAAACTCAAGCATTGGATTGTTCCGTTAAATTGTCACCTATTTTCGTACATATTGGCTGTTCACCATTAGTTTGTTCATTACACTGATTTCTGCAGGGGTTTAACAAGGTTTTGATCGATTGCTTCATTGAACTACTTCGTTTATCGCCATCTGAGAACTTATCCCACCAATCAGCTTGTCTTATCAAGCCATTATATTGCACTTTTCTGACTAATGTCGTAAGCAGGACAGATACCGACCGAGCCGATGTAGCCACGTGAACGTTTTACTGATGCACCTTTCGTGCAAGTGGGTGCCGTTCCTCTGTTGATCATTGGGATGTCTTCTACAGAGAGTGAATTCAAAACACTGTGTTCCGGTAATTCACTTCATCAAAGCAGCTAGGAGACTGGCTGTTATTTCGGTGAAACATAGATGACGAGCCGATGGTTGGACGTTTTTTTTAGTAAACTTGCGCACCCCGAAGAAGAGCTAGAAGTGTATAATCTCGGGAAGTCAACATTTAAGCACTCAAGCTTCGTTGAATCTTTTTAGCAGTGAATCTACTCCAAGGAACTACACACAGTTTCTGAGGCTGCACTGATCGAAAGGAATGTACGACCGATAGAGTTTGGCATACCCAAGTGTCTGTAATTTGAAGGTACCTTTTGACTGGCATAACAGGACTACGGAGGATCCACAATGAGGTTACCGAAACGGACGGTTCAAGGCTTTCCCCGTTGTCCGACCCACTTCAGTTGTCACCTCGTTTAGTTCAAGTCAATTTATGGTTCGTCGCCCGCAGTACAGGTTTCCGATATTTGGTTTTCCGTCGGGACTTCAAACAATTGATGAGCTGCAAGTAGCAGATAACAGCAGCCATGTATAGGGTAGACGGGAAACGGCTGATAGGAGACTGGTTTCTCCCATCAAACCAGTGATTATTTACCCTTTTGTGGTAGAGGAATCATTCCAGATGTACTTGTTGGTTTCTTGCATTGAGAGATTAAAAGAATTATGCAAAAACAAAGAATCATTTTTATGTTACCATTTTGCGATTTTTGGAAATTCCCATATGCAGGTATCATGAAAAACATCACCTATCGAAGAAAGGACAAGACTTTACAAATTCTCGAAGAACGTCGGTTACTAGCTCATGGTGGAGTCACAAAGGAGCGTCTGAATTTCTGTACTTTTCAACATATTGCACCCGGGACCATGGGATTGTTGGACTATCGTTGTTACAGTCTAGAATTATCATCATCCTAATCCCTGCCGAATCAGTTTCTACCATAAGTTAATCGATAATGAAATCATGCAAACGATGCATCAGTCTGGTGTGTGCGGACCACAGTGCACCCTTGTGAAACACCTGTAGTTTTAACTGTAGACCCATCAGTAGTTTCATTTTTAAGTTTCTTCATTCCATTTCATGTCCTTTTTCACTTGTGTTTAAGGGTTATTTGGGTAGTTGTAATGTCACTTCGGTAAGTGAAGTAGACTTTGATTTGGGGCCCTAATACCATATTTTTTTTCATTCTGGGATATAGAAGCTACGTTTCACGGACGTAGCTGCTGGTAGAATTAGTCATAATTCAGGCTGACTGACCATACCATGTTTTCCATTGTCCCTCGTTTCTTGTTGACCGATTTGACGGAAAACTCCGTGCAGCGGAAGCGAGATTAGATGTGACGTGAGTTTTCGGACAAAAAGCGGAAGTCACCCCGTGAAACAAGATTTCTTAAGGTCATCTTGGCATCCGCTAATAAATCACATTCTGCACTGGAATGATTAATAAGGAAAAAAAACAAGTATGTGGAACCTACACAGGATCCATACAGTACGTAAATCAACATATATTTATTTTGCTTTCAACTGTTCAGTGTACTCCAAGAGTAAGTTGTTAGAGGTGGTGTAAACGTTTGCCCCACTGGTACAAATACGTACGCTACGTCATCAGCATTAAAATAAAAAAATATGGGTTCATTTCATCCACCATTGGGTGGTTTCTGTTGAAAGGTGTTGGTCCCCACGTGATGCTTATTTTAAGTCTTTCTTAATGTTGGACTCTTTTGACAAGGATGTGATTGGACCGTTGTAAATTCAGCCATGTGATTATTTCGACACTATGAGGACTAATCAGCAGGCGAATGGGGATGGCTAGTGCACACTCTGTTCAGCAATTGTGAAGTATGGTTTGCACTAGCTACTGACAATATGCTTCACAGTTTTGCCCATCGCGCTTATTTTACGCCGTAATAGCGTATACTTATTCATCTAGGTCAATCAGGATCTTTGCAGTTATCCATTCTCTGTCTGGAGGGACACTGGTGCTGGGATAACCTCATGAATTTTTTGACAGTTCGAATGACTAGGGGATTCTGGCAGGAAAGAAGGCAAATTTGAATACCCACTGTTTTCCATAAGTCATTTTCAAGGACTATAGTTTGTGTTCTGGCAATGCGGTTTCATTCGGTTTACGGCATGTACCGGAGGACTATCTCAAGTCGTCTCCCAAAGCCCGTGTTTACAGGCATCAGATGTTTCCAGCCGAGCTGTTGACTGATCTTCTTACCTTACCTAAGACCAACACGTTCTCTAATAGCAGAAAGTGCAAAATCTTACATTAAGCAGGCAAAACATCCACCATGCGGCTTCAGGGTAAATAACAGTAGTACGCTTCCATTTTAAGGACAGTTAGGCCAGTACGATAATTTTACACCTGACTACAAATCTACCGTTGTCTCTGAGTGCCTTCAACTAACCCTCAAATGCAATCCAACGGAGCAGCAAAACGCCAAATTCCAACTATCTGGCTAATCCACATAAATAAGCTTTTATTGATGTGTCTGCCCCGCTGGCCACCTTGGTTTGGCATGAAGGAGGTTTTTATAGCAATACAGCTGGATAAGTTCCCAAGTTGGAAAACGAGGTTGTGAGCCTGGAAAGAATTTCGAGACGGAAAACCCGCTAAATGAAGAATGACGAACCTGAATGTGGATGACAATGGCCACAGAATCCTCTTCAAAGGTTGGAGCTGTTTGTTCAAGAGCGTTGAGTTCAACTCCCTTGCTTAATATGACCCTGTCAAATCAATAAGAAAAAGACAGCTCAGAGTGTGTCGGTTAACCAGAGTATCTCTGATAATCGATATGAACCCAGAAAACTCTATTACATGCACTCCATTCGGTCACGAATTTCATTTTTTAAAAATTTGGATGAATTATTTTGTGTTGATTAGTTTATTCGAGCCTGATGACACCGGCTGCTACGTTACTTCAAAGCGTTGTCATAACCAATTCATTCAGAAGTCTCGCTAATTTCACAGCCCTTGCAAATTTTTCACCTCTTGTCGTTTCCAATTAGCTGAGCAAAAGTCCAAACGGGGTAATTGAAGTGCCTCTACTCATTACAATCTGTCTTTGAGATGGCTGGGGTAAACGGTAGAGCAAACGACCAATCATCGACCGACTCAATACACCGTTAATTTCGGAGGTGACTAAAATAACTAAAACGACAATTGCCGGTCACACAATCACTGATGCGGTTCAGGTTTTGCTACGGTACACACAAGTCAAGCGACCACACCTTTCTCTAACACTTTCAACTGTCGAGCGCACTAATCAGTGCCAGTAATGCGCGCCACTGGTGAACAATAAAGCCAAACTTTGTTTCCGAACATCCGGCCCTGTCATGAGCAGACAGGCGTCGACGACGGTAACAACTGGTGTTTCCGTTTCCTGACTGCGTGAAGCAATTGATACATAGTAAGCGGTAGCGACAAGCCCGAAATCTCTCGGATCTCACTCGAGGGCTGATCAGATGTCTGTCAGTCTGCTTTAATAATAGATTGAACGAAGACGAACTGGCCAATACATGAGGAGGAGCTACAATGAAATAGTTGAATACGTTGCTGAATAATTGATAGAATGAAAGAATGAGCAAATGTGGGAGCTATCACTGCCGAAATCTGAAGGCGTAATGAAAGGGGGAAAGGCTTCAAATGCCTTTGTATTCGGCAATTTTGCTGCGTGTTTGACATGACATTTGCACAGAAAAACAAATAAACCAAGGAAATAAAGCAATGTCAAATTTTTAATTATAAAATAAGTGACCGTGGAGAGTGACTCTTGCCTAATTTCTAGTTCCATAAGTGTCTACCTTAGTTAGGGTGTCAGAGGAACTTCAGACGTCGCCTTTTACGGGGTGTGGTTTAGACCTAGCCTGGAAAGTACCTAAAAAACTGGCATGGTCCTCAAGGTTAAAGAAGTCCAGCCGTTATGTCATCAATATTTTCTTTGTTTGTATTTAAGTTCGATAAATCGCAAATTGTCAAAAGTTTAGAAAATGACATTACCTGTGACGCCGCTGTATTACCGGGTGCGTCGAAAAAATTAAACTGGAAGCAGTGGATACACGTAGTATCCCCTTGAAAATGCCTACTAATTTTATTCTTCTTGCACAGCTACTCAGCAGGTGCCTCTTATTGGTTGAACCTCAATCTAAAAAGGCTTAAAAAATCATTGGCTCATTAGTGGACAATAAACTCGGGGGTTGTCATCTGTCCAAATCTAGCGGAGAATTCATTCATTTTTTTTACCCTAATGGGACTTATTAGGAACTCACTCATTTAATTTTGAGCATGGAAGACAAACTTTTCATGATCACGAACTGATTCGCCCAGTCTGTTAAGCAGCCGTGATACAGCTACACAAGTGAGCAGAAGCTCCACTCGCACCGGTTTTCATAACAATGAATAAAGCCATGGACCGACGGAGACCCAGGAACGCTCTGAGTGGCCAGTTGAAATTCCAGCGTAAAATGACGTGCTTTCAGCAGGGCATAAATTCATACAAGGCTAACGAGCATGGAACAGTGATTTCTAGTATTGCTGTGTTTCTGATACGGCAGGGTGGTGTTGACAATGTTGTGGGCTGTAGGTAGCTCGGGCGTATTGCTTGGTTGTTGGTCTGTTCGCCGAGCTTGGCAGTTGTATTGCAAACGTTTCATCACCAATAGAGGTGACATTATCAGTGCAGGTGGGTGAATTCTTCCTCTTCTGCCTGTGATTATATAGCTTCTTAACAGCATCTGGTGGTTCTGGAAACGGTCTTCGCGTAGTTTGACTGACCTCCTGTGAATCTAACGTGGTCTCAATCCTCTGTGTCTGGATGGTTCGTTAGGCGCATTCAAACAGGCAGTTCTCTGTGTGTGGTTGTTCTACTGTGATTCGGCCGCTTTCTTCTTGCTTTGCGGTGTGAGCTTGTTCTCCTGATTGGTTAATTTAGTGGCCTTCTGTTTTTTAGTGATTGTCTTCCTTTGATCCAATTAGTCGGTCGGTTGTCGTTAGGTTTCTTGGCTCAGAGTCCCGTGATTGTGTGGTTCTTTTGCTCGTAACGGTTGATAGACTGGGTCAATGTCGATGTGTTTATTAACCGATTTTTGTTTGGAGTACCACGCCTCGGCAAATTCTCGCTGCCGTTTTGTTCTTGCGTGAGCAAGTATTTGAACATTGTCCTAATTGAACGTGTGTCCTTCTCTGTCTTCGTGAATTGAGATAAGTGACATTGGGTCATGTCTTCTGCTGGCAAGCTTGTGTTCGTGTATTCTCGTAGCAAGTTTTCTTCCTGTCTGGCCAACATGGTGTTTGACGCAGTCATTGCACATAAGTTTGTAGATCACGTTAGTCTTCCTCAATGCATCCAAGCTTCCATTTGGTTTCGAGAGAGTTCTGAACGTGTTTGTAGGCTTGAAGGAGACTGTAATTTCTTGTTGTCGTAGACGACGTGCAGTCATCTCTCCCACGTTTCTGATATACGGCAGCGTAATCTTCCTCTGTTCTGGTTGTGTTGACGAGTCAGCTTGGTGGTGGTCTCGTGAGCACCTCCATATGAAATTCCTCAGGTAGCCGTTACTTCGGAATATCTCGTAGGGTCTTCGTTCTTCTTTTTTCTTCGTCTCTGTTGTGTTGGAATGTGTCTCCATCCGCTTGAATAGGGTTCGAACACAGCTCCGCTTGCGGCAGTTAGGATGGTTACTGTGGTAATTGAGAATCTGGTCTGCATGCGTTTCTTTCCTGTACACTTCAGTTTGCAGTTGGCCGTTTGTTGTCCCTGTGTCCAGCACATCTAGTAAGGCCAATTTGTTCTTCTCCGTTTCAATTGCGAAGTGGATGTCGGGAAACATGCTGTTCAGCAGTCTATCTGCTCGTGAGAGTTCATTTTTCTTTACAATAGGAGATGTGTCGCCCACATATCTTACCCATGTTTTTGGTTTGATATCTGGTAGTACGATTCACTCCAGTTTCTTCATTGTAATTTCTGCGGTGAGTCCATTTCTGCATTGTAATTTCTGCGGTGAGTCCAGAGATTGGTAACCCCATTGGCGCTCCTTTGATTTGTACATAATATGCTCCATTGAACTTAAAGTAGGTTGTCAAGCACATATCCAGTAGGGCAGCTTTATTCACACAGACGTGTAAGAACTTTTCCGAATTTTTGCCCTCTGTCGTCAACCGAACCGTGGTCAGAAGACTAAGTTATCAAGATATTCATCAGTGATTATGTGAAGTACAAAAGATTGTGATGACTTGAGAATCTTCTCTAGAGAAACCGAACAAAGCCAGTTTTCACTCTTCAAGAGAGTATTTATGCCTCCCATTCTACTCACAAGCACTGGACGGTGATCAGGTTTTCAATCGATAGTGGAGTTCTTCACTGAGCTTGGCAATTTTTTCAGACGCTTCGTCACCAATCGGGATGACATCATCAGAGCGTTGGTATGAAGGAAGTGGAACTGCGCTTTGGTCGACATGCGGTGAGGAGTGATGCGTGTGAGTCTGTAGACATGTTTCTGAAGGGGATGACCCTCAACTATGATTGGCTAAATATGTGATAACTCCTATTGATTGAAATTCTGGTTGATGAGCGTCCAGGAGATCTTTGACCGTGACCTCACTGAGTTGCACTCTGCGACCATTGTCGCGGTGTTCCCATGGATAATCCCGTCATCTGAAGCGTTCTTCTGATTCCCACTGTTTTCTTGATATTCGATTCAGTTTGCATAGATTCGGGTGCATAGGTTGAATCCATTCCACTGTCGGTTGATCGGGTTCGTTGTGGATTAGCACGCTTTCAGAAATTCTCTTGCATGTTCGGTACACACAGGGCAAGTATCTATACGTCTACCACAGTGAAATGGTGGCTCTGATCCACGGAAGCCACAGAGAGTGGACAATGTTTTCTTATGGCCTTCTTATTCTCGTTGATCCGTGTAGATAGTTTCCTTATGGTCCACTAACTGGAAGGCTAATTCCATTCACTTAACTACGTCCGACAGGTAACAACCGACAGATAGTATACTAGAAGCCTTCAAGCGTAAATGATTTTTGCCCAGTACAAACTGGTTGCCGCATGAATGAGCGAAACCGCGTCGCCTATTGACCAATTGTTCCCTTAAACGTGTTACGTTACAAACATCGCTAAAGCATGGACCGTTTTCAGCTGTGTCTAGCTTATACCAACTTAGTAGTGATCTATTAATGCAGGTGGTGGTGGGAGTTCAAAATGAGATCTTTATAACTGCATACCACCAGAAGGACGCACGAAGGCTGGGATACTGCCAAGTTGTTCACGCCTAGATAAATGAAGTCGCGAGGCAGAAGTCAGGTTCGAACCAGGGAACTTTCGGTCAGTAAATTCGAGCTCTAACCACTGAGCCAGACAAGATTGCTCCGGGTGCGAGAATGGATCTCGTTTAACTCTCGGGGAATTCAATAATGTCAAATCCATCATAGATTTAGAATATTTCAATAAAGAAGAAATTCTCAGTGGTGCATACGTGGAATCCACTGAATTGAAGAAGGCATTTTATCCAAAATTGTGTGAATATTACGATGGTTGAAAAAGGGACCCTGCTTTACATAAAGTGATATATCCTAAGGCCTTGTGATCCATTAATAATTTTGAAAAAGACAGTGGGAACGCTATTGTTGCAGGTTGAATTCATTTCTTACAGCCCTGTCAGTTGAACTACCTGTAAAGCAGAATAAAGTAAAGAAAACCATATGGTTAGTTGTACCGTCCTTTGGGAACGTGACTTTATGTGATTAACCAATAAACCATGACACCCTGAGAGTAACTTTCATGCCTTATTGACGACAGACGAGGGCTGTTTGAAGGAAATTTTGTCTACGTGACCGACTTTCTTGTGAAACGAATTCATATGTCCATTTGGTATCTCGTCCTGAGCAGGTGCTGGGTGGTCGATGACTTGGAATGTGGTAGACCGATGGCAAAATTAGTAATGCACAAAGCGAGTGGGTAGGTGTCGCTTTGTTTGCGTCAACAGCTTTTGGGTACTTTTTTGAATTGTGAATCACTTCGGTGAGAGCCTGAATGTTAAACACATTACCTGATAGATAAAAGTGGAATTGACATTGCTCTTATATTTGTCTAAGCATTCATCTGTGCTACTGTATACGCGAGACACAGGACAACGCTCAGATTTCAATTAAGTTGACTTAATCCATGGTTATCGATATACAGAATCTATAAGTAAGCAGGCTTCTTCCAACCTTGAGTTGCATTTCCTCATTATCACAATTTCTGAGAAGTTTTAGAATACAGCGGTAGTGTATTCGGTTGATCAGTTGTGTAATTTGATCTCCTTCAAGGATTTAACTGGCGTGTAAAACCGGCCTTCCCATTTTGGTTAGGTTAACGACAACTTCACGCAGACAACGGTGAATTGTCAGCATACATGGAAGTTAGGAGAGTCTCGAGGCATCTGGTCCCGCAAAGTGAAGTATTATCTCACGACAAAACAGTGGAAAGCTTGTGAATTGCGGCACGCTAGACTAAGTCGATCAGCTGCACGATTGAGAAATCATGAAAAAAGTAGTTCGTTAACTCACGGAGCGCTTAGTTTTGTTTTTGGCTCTGAATACACGCTTGAGGTGATGTGGGAGTTCGCGCCATTTTGAAAATGTTTATTAACTGCATCAGAAAGATAATGGAATAGCAACTTCAGTAGTTTACGTGAATCAGTTGCAGCTTGTGTGTTCTCCATTCGGATTCGAATGCTGAATTTCTAATAGTGATTTATGTGTCTGTTCTTTTATCACCTAATGACGTGCCCGTCCGCAGAAAGTGTTTTTCCTAGGTTGATTCATGAGTGTCAAAAGACAGACGCAATGAAAAACTTCACGGCTGTAATGTAAGTCCATAAAAATACCGCGTGGGCCAAATTCGAAAAGTCAGGTTGGGAACTTTTTCTGTCATTGTAGAAAACAGCAATCTGGAAGTCCGTAAAAACTCCACAATTGAGCTTATGGCATCTGTACCAGGTGGTTCCAATGAGCCAATAGAAATCACCAACCGCAAAGAAACGGCAAGTTGGAAAGTTATTTCTGGAATGCAGAATTTCCGATGAACATGTGCACTTAGTTTGAGGACCGATAGCTTTCCATCAGCGTTTTTGGTAACACCTAACTTGGATAATATGGTGAGAAACCCAAATGTGAATATAGTGACGGAAGAATTCAGTTAAAAATTCTCAAACCAAATTGATTTGCAAATGAGTGTATTTCTCAAGAACAGTGCAATTTGGGTTCAAGTAGATCATAAGGTTGATGGAAACCCGGGGACTGCGCCTACCTGATGAGCCCCAAGAAGGGCGAAACCGGTTATGGGCTGTCGAAGAGTTTTCAGCAACCTTGTGAGTAGTTTCCTTTATGAAAATTCTCAAGATAGAAACTTGTGAGTAGTTTTCTTTGTGAAAATTCTCAAGATAATCTTGCATTCAAACCGTTTAGCTGGATCTCTTTGGTCTCGATGCGGATCATGCTTTCATTGACTGTTTTTATTAGGACGGAGTGTTGGTATAGTCCAGTAACAGCAGAAATGTTGCACGAAATTACTGACTGTGCCTTTGCCAAACATCCAAAGTCGTCTCAGCTACTTTCAACCCTCAAAGGTGATTAATCTACTCCACTCGCTTCAGTTGGTCACTCCAAAGTAATCGGAGCTACATTTTCACACGTAAAATGCAGTTACCATTCACTTTCTCCAAGAAACTCAGTGTCTTTTCTGATATGAATATGAGAGTGTGTTCTGCGTCTTTAGCCAAATTCCAACTTGGTCACTCTGGAAACTGACGGTGCGACAATGGCTGAGTGGGACTATTTATTACTTTTCTAGTTGGTAAATTTTGTTTAAACCAAGCGACTGGCTGCATAAGTGGAAAAAATACACTTTCAAGAGAGGTGATAACAGAAAGATAAGCCTGAAACCTCTGCATTTTGTATTTTGATGGTCCTGCTAAATAGGGGGCGTACCTTGACCCAAACAGTATCATGTATTTTTACCTGAAAGTTAATCGGAGCAACTATAAGTACAGAACAACTAACAAGGTTGGTAACTTTAGAACTATCCTGTACCATCCAGTGTCCAGAAGTAAAAAGAAAAAATGAGTGATGTATGAACCCAGCACGATACCGTCCTTAATGTCATCACTTTTGTCCCAAACACCGCGATCGACGGCCAGTTGTTGTAGGCCGTTGATTTTACTTGAAATGTGTGGGTTTGATATCACACCACATATCTACAAAAAGACAAACAACTTTCTTTCGGTTTCGCTAACCATTCGCAGACAATCTAAC